TTAGAAACTAAACAGACTTTTTGTCTGTTTATCTTTAATCTGGAATTAAATTATTTATTATAATATCATATTTTTTGTTATAAACAAATTTTCTAAATATTATTTTAACTTACACTGCAACATCTGGTCCACAAACATGCCTTACGATTGCCACATATACTCCTAATGTTCTTTTCATTAATTCTACTTCATCCATAGATATATAAATAAAAGTATATCCCATAAATTCATCAAATACCATATTTGTACCATCATGACATCTCATTGAAGTATAAGAATTTCCAAACTGAGAAGCCATTACATGTTGAGATGTAACAATAGGTGAAAATAATTGCATTATGATATTTGGATTTAAAATTGAATCCTCATTATTTTCATCCTGTATAAAACATATAAAAATATATTAATAATTTTATAATATTAATTAATATCATAAAATAAGGATTTTAATATTATTAATATTATAATATAATGACTAAAATTTTTTTAAAAAAATATTCATAAAATTCAGTATAAAATATATAATTTAAATATAGTATATAGTAGTAGTAGATAATATAAAATATTTAAACTTCAAATATAATATTATAATTTTTTAATTATCATAAAAATATATCATAAAAATCTTGTACTTTATACAATTTGAATTTTGTAAAAAATTTTAAAAAAACTTACCTTGATTTCAGAAATCAGTCCTTGAATTTTAGCTAATTTTTGTATATGATTTGCAAATTTTTTATTACATTTCATAAAAAGAACATCATTCAAATGATCGAAAATTAAAATACCCTTCATTTTATAATTTAATTATTTTTATCACTCTGTGATGCTATTAATCGATATTTATAAATGCATTAATATTTATATTCGTGTTAATTCGATTTATGAAATCATTATTAAATATCAAGCAATTATTTAATATTTTCAGTTATATATATCTAATCATTTCAATGACTTTTCGTATACAACTGCTTTTGGAATTTGTTTAATTAGATTTGCAATACAAAAATATAGGCGATGAAGTTGATTATCTACTTTATGTACTTATGTCGCCTTTCAATTCTACGCTAGATGTCCCTTAGTTGAAGATTGTTCTGCGCATAATTCGAATATATGTATACAAATGATTTTATCAAATAATTTTTTAAAATTTGTATAAATTTTATATCTTATTTTTTTAATACTTAAATATTATTTAAAACAAATTTTATATTATACAATATGTTATTTAATCTTAATTAAAAAATTTATAAGATAAATGTTATTAATATATGTTATAAACATATAATTTATGTATGTACGTATATATATAGTATCGAATAATTTTTTATTTATTTGATAAATTGAAAGTAGAATGAAATTGAGATAAAATCCAAAATGAAAATATAAATACTAATTATCTATATTGCTGGACTTAATATACTATTATTTCGATTTACAAAATAAAATAATTATTTTAGAAAAGAAAATAATACTTACCATTATATAGTTGCATAGTTACAAGTATCATTTAATTGCAATTTTGATATAAGAATATTTTTCATTTTTATAAAGAAATATATTCTTTAAAGAGGTTAGAAAAATTTTAATAAAATGTAAAGATATAAAGAATCAAACTTTTATTTTGATAAAAATTCAAATAAACAAAGATTTTTAGTAATTATTTGCACAGCACACACACATAAAATTTGAAAAATCGATTTAACAAATGACAACAGCTGCAAAAAATTTAAATAAATATTTTACAATATTAAAATAAAATTATTATTTTTTAACAACAAGTAACATATATTTAGTTTTTTCCGTAATTTGAAAAATTTATTTTTATATCATTTTAATAAAATCGTGCCTTAGTTTTGAACTAATTGTAAATACAAGAATATAATTGTTTTTGCGAAGTGCTTTTGTTAAATAAAAAAAAAAATATATAAATATGTAATATGAAGATTCATATAAATACAATAAACTCTTGATTCTAAGAATTAATAAAACAACAGTTAGTAAGAAATTTAAGAATTATTTAAGAATTCAAACTTTCAAGTTAATATCAAAGTTATAAAAAAGATCAAAAAAGATTATCAAATTTAAGATTTATAAATTTGCCTTCATAAAATCGAGAGTTTATTGTAATTTTCAACATCATTTTCCAACAAAAGTAATTTCAGCTTATTTAAGTAGAAATAATATTCGTATCTAACTTCATCATTATTGATTATTCAACACTCGAATTACTTGAACAAGTATTCATTTAATATTCCCTTAAAAGTGACAACACAGTCCTCAGTATATATATTATATTCGACTAGATTATATTATATAGGTCTTTCTACTAATTTTTTTTTTTTTTTTTTTTTTTTTTTTTTTTTTTTTTATATTTTTACCTATTTGGCATCCAGACGAAGACAAAACTGCCTGGAGCCTCTAAATACACATGTATAGTGTATCTAATATCGCATATCAATAGAAATAATCTCAATTCTCAATGGCCAAGTCAATTGGACACTATAATTACAATACAATAATAATTGCAATAATTTTCTAGATCTTTTTCTTTTCTTACATGCTACTATTTTGAAAGTTTCATATAAACCCTGCTAAAATTTTTTTTCATTTATGATGATAAATCCACTGGCTACCTATAATTGTAATTCCAGTATTCAAAAACAATTAGTTTCATGATATTTTTCAAGTGAAACGTATTTTGTTTTCAATATATGATAAGTACAATTAATTATAAATAGAATTGTTCGTTTGTCGTTTTAACTTCAAAACATAAAATATAGAAAAAGTATAGGTTATGTGCGTTGAAAGTCAAAAGTAGTCTTGACAAGTTTTAATTAACTCGTTGATATTTGTGCAGAGTGTGAACTGATATCACAATATTAAAAAAATACTTTCGAGTTTAAAAGTGAATCACACTAAACATTCGAAGTACCGACAAACATGTCTTCTATTCTTGTTTGCATAAAAAAAGATTCTTAATCTATGATTATTCTAGTTTGTTATTTATGATCAGGCCTATACATTTGGCGCATCGTCAGCGCTTAATTATGATTAATTTTTATTCCGAAATGATTTGCATTTTCTCATATTTAATAATACTTGCAATTTATATGCTATCTTTATTTTTCGATAGCATTGAAAATACATATGCTATTGATAAAAAATAATTTGTGCAGAATAAATACAGACTAATAACAACAGCAACAATATAAACTTAGAGATTTCTTTCGATGCAAATAATGTAATGTCAAAAAAGTTAATAATACATAATAATAATACATTATTCTTTAATAATTTTTATGAAATAATATTTGAAATATATTAAATATATTATATAGTTTCAATATTATTATAGACAAAAAACTTGAATAATCAACAATATACGTTCAAATTATATAAAATATTCTAAAATATACATTTATTCAAAGTAAATGTTGGTATTTCACTTTTGCAAAATATTTATATTAAAAATTATACTACACTATATATTATAAAAACACTGTGTTGTTTTTAATGTTGTTTAAATATATAAGTACCATCAATTTGTTAAATATCATATTGTCTAAAATTTTACGAAGTAAAGTTATATAAAGTGACACTTGTTGACATTTTTAAAGTGTATTATAATATTATAAATGGAAGCATAAATTAATTAATAATTATATTCAAGATTTAGAATCGTAATAATAATATTAAATAGCAACAATGCTTAGGTTAAGTTATCTTGCATAATTCTTATAGACTTTTTTCTATGGTTTCTCTTCTTTTTACTTTCAATTTAATATCTTTTAAATAATGAAATTAAAAACAGAATAATAAATTAAAAATAAATAATATTAATAATGAAAATTGTGAAATAAAAGATAATATGTATTTTTCATTATTATATAAATTAATTATGAACTGTATTATTACTCTAAATAAAATACTATTTTATTACTATTTATCTGTCATAGCTGCGTGATCAAACCATCATTAAAAATAAACATGTCTACGTATCAATTGACTTCAAACACGCACGCTTGATTTTTTAATTACTTAGAGAAACCAGAAACATTCTAATTTAAATAATAAGAAAGATAATCGTTTTGATCAATTATAGGCCTTCCTATTTATGTAATTATGTAGCAATCGATTATTTTATAACGCGCTTATTCAAATATCCTAGGCTCGGTTGCGTCAGACTACAATTTTGTAATTAAAGCAAAGCTTAATTTTCACAAAAATTTTTTGAATTTGAACACTCACTCATAAATATATAAAATATTATAATAATGAATATGAATTCTTTATCAGTAAAAATAAAAAAACCAATAATTATTTTATATATGATAAAAATGAAAATTCTCGCGTATTAATATTTATAAATATCCATTATTTTATATTTTGAACAAAAATATATAATATATAATATATATATATAATAAATAATATATAAATAAATAATAAATATATAATATATATATGTATATCAATAAAATATAATTTCTTTCATTTTTAATTATATTATATTATATTCATGAGTGAGTGTAATAAAATTTCTTTTTAGCAATGCATCTTATTCATCTAATTCATTATTTTTTTAATAAATTCTAATTTGTAAGAAAAAAGCGGCATCTTATATATAAATAAAAATGTGCATTTTTGCAAAAAGCAGGCAATAATTTCATCAATTATTTTTCTATTTTGAAGAATAGATAATCTTAAAATTTTATATGAAAAATCAATGAAATAGATGTCGCTTCTTTTGTCATAGAGCATATATATACAATTTTTAATGTTGTTCATGAGCATATTGCATGCGAAATATTTAAAATTGTGATATATTGGCTGCTTATTAAACAAATATATGTGTTTATCATACACATATTTTCAGTTCACTTATTTATATCTATAAAATATCAAAAGAAATAAAATTATTTAATAATACTTTTTTTTTCATGATTTTAAGCCTCATAATAATATTTTGATTTTGCAACAAAGATTTTTTCATTTTCTCTGAAACAAAGAACATTCAAACTATTTGAAAAGTAACATAAGATAATCTACAAATCTTTTTCAAGTCGTATACTTTTCGTAAATACACTTCACGACTTTTAAAACACGAAACATTCGAAATTTTTTTCACATTAACAACTCAAATGTGAAATATCCTCTTCATTATCAAATCAATCTGTTTATCAATTTCTATATGATTCTTCGAAAAATTATTTCTTTTCGAGATTTGCAACTCGAGAAATTGTTTCGATGAATCGCGATCATACGTAAATTTGGCGAGGAGTTTTTAAGTATCCTTTCAACGTGGACACACTTTTCTGAAACAATTTGGGAACTTTTATAGGTATTTTAGCACCAACAAAGCACGCTTCGCGTTCTGAACGTGAAAAACCATTTCGATCCGGCCGCGGATCGTGACATATTTGCATCTTATTCACTCGACATCAGTTGTACGCTGTCATCTGCCGATCTATGAAGTCGTCGAACGTCTGATAATGAACGAATCGGCGTTGGATGTAACAACGAGAATGTGTGCGAGTGGCGATCTGAAAAATTGCAACAAAAATACAATGTTTTTATCAGCATGATGTTATTAAATTGATTTACTGATATTACTATGATATTATTATGATATTATTTATTTTATTTAAAATTTGAAAAAAAAATTGAAAAAAATAAAAATAAATTTTAAATTTTATTTTATAGTACCAAAAATTATTAATCAATTTTTATATTTTCTATTATTATTTTTATATTTTATATTTTATATTAGAATATTATTCAAAAATATTAGCTTTGAATTTAGAAATTGAATTAATTCATTCTCAAAATTGCATTTGAATATTCGAGTTATTTTAATTAAATTTTATTCTCTCGAGAATTACAAGAAAATAAAGATCAAAAATGTATAATTAATTATAAATGAAAATTAATTAAGTGAAGATTTTTTTAGATATTTTAATTTATAAAATATTGCATAATATCTTAATTAATTAATATTTTTATTTTAATATTAATATTTTAATTTTATATTAAAATAATAAAATAATACATTATAACTTAAAAAAGAATTAATATATTAAAAATTAATTCTTTTTTAAGTTATAATGTATTATTTTATTATTTTAATATAAAATTAAAATTTATTAATTAATATAAATAATATTAAAATTTGTATGCAATATGTTAACGAAATAAATTTTAAACATGATGTAAATAAAACTGAAATATGATATAATAAGCATAGCTGCACTTTATATGATTGTAAATGTATTTTACATCAATATATTGCAAACTGCATGTTTTTAGCATGTTTGTATTTATTCTATTTTTATTTTAATAGATCTTGTTATATGGTTATATTTTATGTAATTAATAATTTTAAAAATATATACGTTATAAATAAATTAATAATATAATTTGTATATTAACAATTTTTCATTGAAGAATAATAATTGTATTATGATTATTCTTTTAAATTCAATGTAAAATATAAAATATAACTGTCTGACATGTTATGTTTCATTTGTAAATTCTTACGAATTAATTCCTCTTCATTGTTAATGTGTTTTTTAAACATCAAAATATAGTAAGCGATCAGGGTTATTGCCCCAGATAAAAAAATATGATGCTTCACGTGCGTGCATATGAATGAACAGGATAAAAAATCGCGCAATGCGACAAGTTGAGGGGTGATTAGATCAGTCACGCGCATTTTCAGTACTGGCGGTAAATCAACCAACATGAAAGAACAAAGGAAGTACTGATGATCATATGTCACGCAGCATTGTCAAGAAGTTTTATTTTATCTTAAATTGTTTTAATCTTTTATATTATAATTTATATTTTAATTTATATTTTTATTATATTTAACAATATATATTTTTTTTTATTTATATTTTTTATTTTATTCATATTATTAAATATCACAACTTGCGTCAGTATTTTGTTATATAATCATTAAAAAAATTGATAATAAATAAAATTTCTATTATATTAAAAAAATTAAAATAACAATATAATTATATGATAAAATGATAACACTACTCTCATGATATAATTAAAACTATTATACAATATTTATATTAATATAATTAATTCAAAATAGATGTCAACATGATTTAAATAATAATATAGATCATACTAATATGATATTAATTAAAATTCAATTAAAATGTTCGTATTATATATAACATAATATCAAAAAATAATAAATATTAATACTAATGCAACAATAATATAATAATATAGAGTTAATTAATATTATCTAACATTACTATAATATCACTATTAGCACAATTTCAATTATAATTCAACGATCTGTGAACATTTCGAGCATCCTTTTCAGCAATTCAAATCACAAGTTATCAAGATCTGAATCAAACCGGAAATAACCTTCAACAGAATCAAGTATCAACTAAACAATCTAAATGAAACTCGGTATAAATTATCTTTTAAAAAATCTAATTTCATAATAATAATAATAATAATAATAATAATAATAATAATAATAATAATTGATAATTTTAGGTCAAATTTAAATTAAGTAAAAGCAGATTGCATCATAAGGGGATGGAAATATTTTTCACCAGTTGAAGAGCCGATCGAAAGTCAAGACACGCCCACCATGCCACGAACCATTAATTTATGCGGGTTAAAAATAAGGTGAAATCGATCGCATCTATACTTCTGTGAGCGTGGCAAGCATCAAGGTCGCAAGATAAGTGTCCACCGCGAATATATGAATTCATTAATGTTCCAAAGAAGCCTATTCCCTGATTTCCATATTCATCCGCCATATTGCCCATAGAACTTTTAAGCCGTATTTTCAAGGATTCAAGAGTTCATATATGAATTTGTGTGGATATATTGATGTAATGGATCGAAAGATAAATGAAATATAATTATTAAGTATAAGAGTTGTTAAAATATGATAGGATATAAAATATAAGAGTCATAGTAGTATAAATTAAAATTTTCAAAATTCGAAATATAATCATATATCTAAAAATTGAAAAAATTTAATTCCTTTTGAATTAAATTTGAATATTGCTGCTGTTTGCATTTGCATTACTATGATTCTTCTAGAGTTTGATTATAGAGTTGATTATAAGTTATAACAAGATCACAAATTAAAACATAAATGATTAATATAGACACACTCAAAGTTAAATCTTGAATCTTATATTGCAAATGCCATTTATAAATTGGATATTTGAAATTTTTATATAGTATTTTATGTGAAATAAAATCTACTTTTCTTTTAATTTAATGATGATACAAACTAAAAATGAAGAATAATATCAATAAGAATAAAAAAATGATGATATTTAAATTTATAAATACGAATAAGAACTGAAATATGATTATGAAAAAAATTAGGATTGATCATAAGTAATAATAAATTAAATAAAAAATTTTAATCGATCAATATCTATAAACATTATTATATTGATAGATTGATCAATTGTATATGTGTGTATATGTATATAAACTATATAAAATAACTTAAGGTACTTATGTGAGAAGAGTTTTAGAGTCTGTATTCTCTCCGCGTTAAAAAAGATGCAGGTTCTATTTAGATGGATCTATATAGAGTGACCTTGGATATGGCCTTGATGCCTCCACCTATCGATTTTTCTTTATGAAATTCTAATGAGACACTCGATTTATTTCAATTTACAAGTGGCTTCGATTTTGTCCGTTCCGCTTAATTCATTTTCCGTGTCGTGTATCATTTTGGGGATTAAAGCATGGCAATTCATGTGTGATGTATAATTAATAATCCATGTATGCTTTTGCGTGAATTAAGATATTTCCATATATGACTATGATTCGATTATTTACAAATTGTGGATGTTTATGGAAACTTATGCTTATAAACATATCTATATTTATGTTTTTATAAATGCAATATATTCTAAATAGTAATTTGTTTAATTTATTAAATATTACAAACTTTATCTTATTTAAATTTTTATAAATATATAAGCTTCCACAATATTATTTTTTATTAATATTTTTTTTTTGCTAATATTTTAAAGATGACATTTTTAAATAATGTTAGCAAATCTAAATAAAGTACTATTTTAGGAATAGAAGTATTATTAGTAAATTAATTAATTAAAAAAATATTAAAAAATAAAATAGTAAATATCAAACAATATAATTCAAAATAAAAGATGTTAAATATCGATATATATTAGATGGATCATCAATAAGGATAAAAAAATTTTAAAATTATCAATATGTTCTAAAATTTATGAAAAATAATAAAACGTTATTTTTCATATAATATAAAAATTATAAAAATTGTTCAACCTAAGTGACCAAATCACGTTATTAAATCTTCTTCTATTTTCATTCTATAATAAAGTAATCACACGTGATTTTTTTGCTATAGCTATACAATACGGATAACAAATGGCGAAATCAAAACTAAAGTAATAGAACCAATAAAATTTCCATTAACGTC